TATTTCTCAGGTAAAAGTCTACTTCTTATTTTAATTTGTAATTCAATACTTTTTGTTTTATACAACTTGATAAAAATCTGACTGTAATATTTAATGTTCCTTCAAACATAAAAGAGTCCTATATAAAATTCTGATAAAGTTGCGGCCCGCCTTTTGACTGGTGCTTTTAATTGCGGCCCGCGTCCTCATGCAAGTTGGAAACTCCTGATATAGATACACACGAGGAGTAAGATCCCAATTCATTTATCTTGTTTATTACTTTTATATCAATACTAAATTCAATATTTAAAAAAAGGTACTTATTAGCTCGCATATTAAAATGTATTAAAAAAATTAAGAAAAGGAAATATAAATTTTACTACCAATGAGAATGAAAAAGTTTGTGACTGAAATTTTTGGCTAAATTTGAATTTATGAATTTCGCTACCACTAAGAAATGTCTTACGCAGCAAGATTGAGCATTTTCATTTATGCAGTCTTAAAATTGCTTTAAAAAAAACACTAGATTAAAAAAAAAACAAAAAAAAACACTAGATTGTGATCAAAGCTGGAAAGAAAAGTTTTTACAATTTTTTTTTCTTCATCTCTAGCTTTGAAAACGTTTAACTTTCATTATCCTTGAGTTGTATGAATACCAATAACTTGATTCTCATTTTTTGCACTACTTTAAACAAGTAAGAATGTGATTCAAGATAATTTTATGTTCAAAAGAAATTAATTTCTTAATTATTGTATCGCAATCACTAATATTATAGTTTGTTACCTTCTTTTGTTAATTTTAAATATTATATATAATATTGATAAACATGTTAACATAATGTTATAAAAGTTTTCAGTAAACTATATAATATTGATAAATATTGTTAAAAAACAAAAGTGATATATTTTTAGACACCAATTTTTGCGTTTCAATGTGTTTCCAAACCTTCGTTCTACAGTAAGTTTTCATGCTCTTTATCATCTTTTGAATTTGTAGGTCGAATTTTAGAACACTTTGTTTTATGTAAGATTGGTATTCTTCTTTAAAAACTATCAAAATCATATCGAGGTTTAGTAAGTGTATCCCCGGCAGGGGGTGGGGGTAAAGAAGATATGTATTGAATACATTAGGGTCATTTTTGAAAACTCATATGATTAACTCATCAAGTTAGCGATATGCTTACAATATCACATCAATAAATATTTCACTACGACTAGAAAAAGACTTTTTGAATGAGTGTAAAAGTCTGCAGGTAAGATAGAATATTTTAATTAGTCTAAAGGTGCTGACTGCAATTAATCTTCTAAAAAGTGACATGGTAATTGGAAAACACTGGAGTCTCTTCAAATTAATCTGGATTATTCAATTAACCTTCAACATTGACAACAATAGTGCCTTTTTATTAACTTTCTTATAAGTGCAACTCTTACTGAAAATCATAAAACGAAAATTGCTCTCATGCGAAATAGCTTCTAGAAAAACTACCTAAACAAACATTCGCCGAAAAAAAAAGAAACATTTAATTCAATGCTCCTAAAATCTGAAATGCCACATCTTGTTTTCTTTTTTTTTCGCCAAACAATATAACAAGGCTCAACACAGTCAGCGCCAAAGATAGTTTATGTTCACATTTTACACCAAAATCCGCATATGAGATAGAAAAAAATTGCTTTATATTGCGTTTCTAGGAACAAGTGAAACAGTTTCTTTGCAATTATTGTGGTATAAAAATGCCAAATATAGTTATTAAGAAATAAACTTTGCAGAGAGAGCCATTGGCATCAGCCTTAATAGATATAGAGACAATAAATATGTATTTTTTTCGTAATTCCTACATGCGGAGACTGAGTTTTATGTTGGAATGATTTGCATATTTCTATTCAGTCATAAAGTATTACAGCACAAAGGCAGACTTTACTGTCGCTCAAGGTTGAAGGATACATGCACTGGAAGTATTAAATTTCGTGTCTCTATTTGCACTTACAGTGATCGTAAGAAAATACCGTAGCATTTCAAATCCTATCTAGAACAGCGGTTCTCGAATGGTGTCCTACGGAACTCTGGCGTTCCGCAGAGCCCTACAGTTGCGTGGAAGGATTTCAGGGGTTCCGAGACTTGGAATTTTTTATAAATCAGTTATGAATATCGAAATCTGTGATTAAATTTACAGCCAATTTACAATTAATTAAATATTTTACATTTCCGTCATTTAAATTTTTCTAAATTAATAATATTTACGAATTTAAGTATGTAATTAACAAAACAAATAGTTAATTAAGTGTGTTAATTAAGTGCTGCATTTTTTTTACTTACTTTTGTGGATTTACTAGCTACGCATTTTCTTCTTAGTTAATGAATTAATGCAAATATTTTTTAAACTGAAAGAATTTCAGTAATGCTTTTATTTGCATTAAAAAAATTAATGTAAAATTCAATTTGCTATTTTTATTTATTTGTTTAAATTATTTGTACTAAATGATGCATAAAATAAATTTTAAAATAATACTTTATGCCTTGTTGGCTCTGTTTTCCAGCATTAGCTGCCACGTTTAACACTTTCTGGTGAAGATTTTTGATAGTGGTAGTGATATAAAAATTTATTTTACTATTACAATCAGGAATTATTTGAACAATGTGAGCACTTACAGGATGGTTTAAATCGAAAAAAAAAATTAAAAAGTGGTAAAAAAGTTCATGGAAATTTAGAAGTTATTAATTTCAGGAAGTGAATTAAGCAGTTTCAACATCCGTGTGTACTTTCTGTAATTTACAAATATTTTTGGTTGATAGTAATATGTTAAAATTATTCGTATCTTTAATATTTCTTTACAACTTTTTTTGTTTTTTTCCGATTGTGGCTACCTTTATTTTAATAATTTTAAGGAACATTGTCAGGAATTTTTTAAATTTATTAATAATTTTTGTGTATAGTAGCAGTCGTTATAAGTTCAGTTAGTTAAACGAAAATAAAAATATTAACGTATACATTTTGCTACCACTAGAAAAATACAAAGAAAATCGATTTAAATAAAGTTTAGCTTTTCGCTATTATAGAAAAAACTTAATCTCTCTCAAGATCTTTATTTTATATGTTCACGCTTGGGATAATTTAGAGAGAAAGAAAGAGAGAGAGGGGTTAGATGCTGCCATATATGACGTCTTGACATTCATATTTAATATTTTAAAATTTACATCTAAAGAGATAAAAGAGTCTCCTGAATGAATTAACATAGTGACACATGAATGAGTGAATTAATTTATTAACATGTGAATCAATATAGTGATGTAGGAATTAATATAAGATATGAATTTATATAATCTCTAATAATGACATGAATAATAAAGTAATGTGTCATATCCTTACCAGGAAAAATCACTTTTCTATTATTTCTTTTATTGAGTCCCATATTCTTCCTATTTAGTCTATTATTTTTTAAATCCAGGTAATCGTTTGTTTCCTTACGATAATTAATAAAATATTGTTACGTAAAATTATGATAGTTGCATATTTTACTAACAAAATGTTTTTTGTTTTGTGTGGGAAATATTGACTTTTAAGCTAACAATGCTATAATTGTAATAATTGTAACTAAATTTTCATAAATAGTTTCTTAAAACGTAATAGGACAAAGCTGAACGTTACTGGTGTTTGAAAATGTTAATTCGAGCTTGTTATGCAGCTCTGTGCTATAAGCTGGAATTCTTCCAAAAGCTTGGATAAATGGTTTCCTAAATCACGTTTGAACAAAGTTAATAGGTATTGTTTCTTTGTAAGCGGCATTGAAGTTTGAAAATCGCGTTTGCTGCTCCATGAGGTTCCTGTAAAACTTTCAAAAATTCGAAGTACGGATTAATAGTTTCTTATATCACAATGGGACAAAGGCAGTTAAAAATGGTTTCTTGGAAATGGACATTAATGTTTAAAAATTTGTAATTTGCTTGCTGTTTGTTACATAACTTTGTATTGATTGCTGTAACCAGAGCCGGATTATACCTTTCGTAGGCCCTAGGCACAGAGCCGGATTAAACCTTTCGTGGGCCCTAGGCATAGCCGTTTTTGGGCCCTCCCCTCCTTCCCCACCCCTCCCCTCTTTTCAAAATATATGCTAAATTTTTCTTGCATATTTTTTTTAACATTTTTATTAAGATGGATTTTAATTTACAAATTTGTTTATCGAACTTTATCTGCAATACCGACATACTGCCGATATTGCAGTCGATATCGATAATACCATTATGATTAGTTCGATCGATAACTATGTTAAAGATAAACTAGTGAATACTTTTCCTAACGTTCATATTGCATTGAGAATATATTTGTCGATTCTTAGATCAAATGCAGAAGGAGAAAGATCTTTCTCCAGATTAAAATTGATAAAAATTATTTGCGTTCAACAATGAATCAAGATCGTTTGGCATCGCTCGCACTTATGTCTATTGAATACGACATTTTGCGTAGTTTGGAATTCGACAGCATAATACAAGATTTCGTTGAATCCAAAAATCGCAAAAAAGTAATATATTAGATCATAAGATTCTGCAAAATAATTTATTACCGAAAAATATTATATTTTTATTTGTATCTTCATAATTTTGTGCAAAATACACTTGTTGTTTTTAAAGCTAAATTATTTTTGTCAACAAATTTTTTTCTCCCAAGTTTTTCGTAGGCCCCTGAATTTCGTAGGCCCTAGGCACGTGCCTAGTGTGCCTATAGGTTAATCCGGCCCTGGCTGTAACACTTCCAAATGTTTTAAATCTGGATCAATAGTTTCTTAGACCATGATAAGACAAGGGTAATATGTGTGGTTTCTTTGATAACGCTACGAAATTTGAGAATTTGTATTTGCTGCTTGTTGCATAAACCTGGATTGGTTCTTTAAACTGTTCTAAATGTAGTTGCATTATTGTTTTAAAGCGTTATATAAATACAATATAAACTTTCAGAAAAGAGAAGAAAAAAAACGTATTTTTGGAAGGTTTTCCTTAAAGAGAATAAAAAGAGAAGCAATTTACTTACTGTCAATGATAAGAAATTATCAGACAAGCCATGACTAGTGAAAAAACAGTTGGCAGGCCATTGCTTACTACTGTAGAAAGAGCCTACAAGAGAAGTATTATGTTTAATATTATTATGTTTATTATATTTGTAGTTAACAGAATATTATAATTTATCTATGTAATTATATATCGATCCGAAGGAGGCGAAAATGTAATTTTAAATCGGTAGTAGAAGCTAATATTACGAAATTGATAAATTTTTTCCAGGAGCGTAAGAACCCTGTAGGAAATAAAATCTTATTTATATAGATAGCAATGTGCAAGTCAAGATTTGAAATGCAACCTTATGCTTGTAAGATTTGAAATGCAAATGTGAAACCTTAAACCTTTGACTACGACTTTTAAAAAAAGATTTTTTTTGTACCGTTTATTATTCAAAAGGAATAAATAAAAAAGGACAAATCACAAATAACGCAAATTTAGTATTTTTCTGACAAGCGGTTATCAATTTAAAGGCTGGGACATCTATGTCTCGGTCGTACTTAATGGTGGGATACATATATCCCATCTGTAGTGATTGACTTACTACAAGCACATCTATCATTCCGGAAAAATTTATTATATGGACATTTTTTTACATGGTATGATAAAGGTGAAGCAATCTTTGCATAACCCGATATTACACATTGGACAACTCATATTTATTCTTATTTCTATGTTCATTTGAGAAAATATGAATAGACATAACAACCCCAATGAAGAATACGAGTGGGATATATCTGTCCCAATGAAGAATACAAGTGGGATATATCTGTCCCAGCGCAAAATCACAATGCTATTTCATCTTTAGCGCCATCTAGTTAACGCCAGCTAGGGGATATTTGACACACGAAACACGTATAGTTGGTTCGACTCTACGACTGGGACATATTACAATGAGTTTCTAAGTGCTTTTCACCTCATTAGTAATTTTTAAACTTTTGTTGGGACAAATGAGTCCCGTTAGTAGCTAAAGGGTTAAAAAGCTGTTATATCAACTTTAGTTTTGTTTCATTCGATTTAGCGTAAAAATACAAGGGAAATAATATTGAGCTTGACTGGATAGCAATGATTCACTCTCAGTGAATTCAAGATGATGAATAAGGCTCATGTTGGGGAGGAAGCAAACTTCAATCCATATTCATGCTAGACTTCATATTCAAACTTCAATCCATATTCATGCTAGACTTCATATTCAACTTCATATCGAACCTAAACCAAAACTTTTAAAACAATTTACAGCTTTTTCCTTAATTATTTGCAATTTAACTTTCTTTTTTTAAATTTATTTTTTATGTGTTTATTTTTTATTTATTTTATTTTGCTAGTTATAAATATATTCCGAATCCTTTTTCTTAAAAGCTGAATTTAGTTTGAAATTTTTTTATTACTTCATGATCATCCATTTAAGCTGTTTTTATTTCTTTCTAACAAATATATAATTTCAACTTACGTTTAAATTTAACAAGGCTTACTTACCCCTGACTTTTCATCTTCTTTCTTATCCTCTTTCCCTTCCTTGGCTTCTTCTTTTTCTTCTGATTTTTCTCCTTCTTTGCTCTTAAGAAAAAATAAAAACATTAAAATTAAAACATCCACTACGGTAAAACTTTTAAAAATTAGTAAAAGCTTCTAATTGTCTTTTCCTAGAACGAGAGACAATGTTATAAATATGATTAATATAGTATAGTTCTCATATGAGTAATTTGACTTTGAGTAATTTGGATGACAAACCATATTCTTTATAAAAGTTACATTTTTACATCAAATTGTACTTTAGTATTATTTCCACATCGATACTTTATAAGTTTCTGATATTTACACTTGGTAACAACTCAATACTCAAAAACATCTCATTGGCTACATAAACATTGTAATGTTTCAAACCAAAAACGTTATTTTAAAGTATTCGAAAAAGTGACTTAAAATTTTATTGCTTTCAAGCTTACATATTTTACACAAGTTTATACAGTAGCGGCAGAAAAATGTTTTGCTATCTTGTTAATTAAAAATGTGTAACATAAGGAGCCTGTTAGTTAAAAATGTGTCATCCTGACAAAAAGCATTTTTGCTACTTGATATTAAAAATGTGACGTTTTTAAACTGAAAATTTCAATAAATTGTCAAATGCGAATAAGTTTTTAAAATCAAAATTTTTTTTAGAATCATTTAAGGGGTTTTAATTAATATGCTACTCAAAAATTAATTAATTATGTTACTCAAAATATTTTTGTATTGCTCTTTTCAGCGGCGTATGTTTATATATTTAGCTGAATTCTGCTTTTGTGCAAATAAATTCTTCTTTTAAACCAATCTCCAAGGCCTGTTTGCCTATTTTATTTGGATACAGTTTCCACGATCCCGAGGAGTAGACTAAGTTTTACAGAATTTTGGTTAATTCCAAAAATACCATGAATACCACGATAATACCATTAGCACGAGATTAAGAAGAAAATGACGTTTTAATCTGTGTTTGAATGTCGAAGTTGGCAAAATAACTTTAAGTTAAATTTACCTAACCAAGAATCAAATGTTAATTTTATTTCCACCAGAAAAAGTTGCTTTTTATTTTAAAAGTACAATCCTGATTTAGCAGGATCGAATTCCTAACTCTGTTACTTTAAGTACCGACAAACTTTTTTATCATCTAAACCTTCTCTTGCGTTAGTAAAACGACAATTGAACTGAATCGTAGGCAGAAATATTTTTCGAATTTATCTGTATTAAACACTTTATAGGGGGTCACCTATCACGAAAATTTTACTGAGAACGCAAGTTCACAAATGGGCTCTTTTTTCCATTCATCCTGTAATATAAATGTGTGAGATGAAAGTATAAGTTAGTTTGGAATTTCCTACAGTTTAGCATACACAGAAAAGAGCCACAAACGGCCTCAAGTACTCAGATAAATGTAATGATGATGATGAAATAGCCATATTTTTAAGTTCAATTTTTTTAAACTTGTTTTAAAAAAATCTGCTACAATCACTAAAAAAATCGTTCTCGAAAGCATCAAGTGTTTTTGAATTTAAACCGAATAAATTATTAAAAACATTTATTCCGTTTCATTCTTCAATTTTTGATTGATTAGTGGTCTCTGTTGGTTATATTTTTTATGCATTTGTTGGCGCATGTTTCATCACTACTGATATGACAGCAAATCAATGACTCCGAAGTTATCCGGATATTGCGCTCGCATACGGTGGTAGTGCCTCAATTATTTGTCACCGTATTTCACCCGAAAAAGTAGATTTTTCATTCATAAACTACTCTTCTTTACAAATATTTCCTGACAGGAGATGTGCCTCGTAAGATATGTGCATAATGTACGATAAAAATAACATATTTCTTATGATTTTATATCTCACTACGAGCCCCATTCACCGACCCGCCGGGGTAGACACATATTAATTTTTATTTTTATGTTCTTTAAAATCGACATTTTTTAATGAAAAATAAATTAATAAATAAATAAATTAATTAAATAAATAAAAATAAGTAAGATCATTTTGCATTTAAAATGTAAAATTATTATAATTTTGTGTAAGAACATTCGGTTAATTTGTTAATTGTAATAAAATAGATGGTTAGGGGACTGGAGGCTAGGGGGGACATGACACTAAATTAGAAAAACGGAACATTTCAGTTATTTTTTTCCTAAAATTCCCTGTAAATTTTTGCGTTACACTTTCATGTGTAGTAACAAAGCATTTGATCGTTAAGAAGCAAATTAAAAAGCAAGGATTTTATGGTGGAAAAAGTAACTTCTTAATTTTTGCTGCATTTGCAATTTTACGCTATTTTTATTCATAATTTTTAATCAGAGGAGTTATTATATTATGAATGAATATGCTTAGTGCACATTTTGAAAGACTACATATTTTAAAAGTTAAATTTGATTTGCCATTTCTTAAATCAATAATGAGTTTATACGAATATGTAAGACTTTTATAAATATGCCTTTACGGGACGGACTAATGTGGGCTCATAGGTGTGGGGCATCTGTGGAAATGCTAGTATTAACGGAGGCTTTTAGTGGTTGTAAATTTGAGTTAACGCCGGCAGATTTTTTTTAAGCTGACACTTTAACACTTAGAGGTCTGATAGGACACAATTCTAATACAGATATATATTTTTTTGGCAATATGTCGTCCAGTAATCACAGGAAAAAGAAAGGTGCCTCTTCCGAAAAATTAATTCCCTAGTTATTTTCTTGCAAAAATCTTCTGTATACTACCATAAATGATGCCTTAAAACTCTCCAACCCTCTTCTGTTCTCTTCCCCCTTTTTTGTGGGAAATGGGGTGGGGGTTAGAGGGGAAAATAGTTTTATTCTAAACAGATAAGTAAGTATTGTTTTTGATATATTTTTTCACACAGAACTGAATGAAACTAACCCCGAAACGATCAGACTAATAATCTAGAAGTTATAAAGGTTTCTGGTACAAAAAGTACAAATCTGTACTTGTACCTATTTACGCATCTGATGCTGCTATCTAAACAAATGAGACATAGTTTCCTTTGTATTTTTAAGCTGTATCATATGAAACTACACACGAGTAAATTAAAGAAAAAACTCAATCTAAAGCGTTTATTTCTTTCTAAAAAGCGTTTTCATTTCTAAAAAGTACCATTTTTCAAACCACTTAGTACACTTGTTACTCTGCTATCTAGGGGCTATCTGAACCATGTGAGGCACATTTTCCTATGGAATGTTTTTATACTGAATTGAATGAAAAAGAATAAGAATTAATGGGATGAATAGATTTTAAGTGTTAAGTGTTTTTTAGTAATACTTGCAATTCAAAGATATTGCATATCAATATATATGGTTATGGGAAGTTTTTGGGACTATCTTAATGTGTACTTCATCGACGAATTATTGCCCATTAACTTCAGAAAATAATCTTTTATCTGGCCTTATCTGGTTCATCTTGATTTTTTATGGCTCTTTGTGAGAGACCGACTTCCACATCTTAAACTTGATAAGAAACATTGTTTTAAGCTTATCAGTTAATGTTGAAAGACTCGCATGAGAAATTCTATATATATATATATATATATCAGACTAATATAAGATCAGACTAATAATTTAGAAACTATGAGTTTTAGGTACAAAAAATAAACTGTAAAGTACTCGTTACTTTTGTAACAATTCCTTTAGATGATAAAGCTTATGTTTTTCCACTCAGCCAATTAACGACGACTTTTTACATTCCGAGTACTTTAAAATGCTGTTTGAACTAATACAAGCATTAAATGATTTAAAATGTACAATACAGTATTTTTAAAATTCTAAAAATAGACTTGTTCTGGATTATTCTGGAATAGAATTGTTCTGATTACTCAGTACCAGCCTTGGTGGGTTCTTACTAATTCATCAGATTTGACATGATTCAAAGAGACAAAATAGTGACACTGCTAGGCATATAGTCTCTAGTATGCAAACGACATGATCATTATTATAAAAACAATAATAATAATGGTAATACTTATGAGGTGGCCCCACCTTCCTCGCGGCTATGTGTAGCTTCTGATAGGTTGCACCCTAGTTACACCAGTCTGATATATATGAATGGTATTAAAAAGGACAAAGGTTTTGTACAATATTTACACTTTTTACAATGCTTCCTAATAATATATCATCTGTAGGGCTGCGAACTTTCAACGCTTTTTGTAAAAAATTATTCTAGTGGTAGATAACACAATGTATTATCTGTTGTTCATTTAAACTTATTTTTTACACCATATAAATGAGTTAAAAGTTCATATGCAACGCCACTGTGTTCCAGCTCTTTGGTGGCGAGGCTTTTAAAATATTGACTAAATTACTAAAAATTCTGAATGCTTTGATTTTTAAATGGCTACCACTTTAAAAGATATTTTACTAAAACCGCTGTAGTTGGCAGGACTGCATCTGTTGAGAAAACGGCCTGCCTATGGTCTGCGTGTAATATTTTCTTTTAACAATTCTTTGCTAAAGTGATCATTAAATTTCGCCTAGTCACATTTCTGTTGCTTCATCTGAAAATAATGCGATTACTAATTATTAAAATATAAAAATTTTGAATTTTAGAGCGATGACTGTTGACCTCAGAGGCGGCATCGGAGCGTAGAGGGTTAAGGTTCACTTTTAGGGAGGGAAAAAACTTCGGTTTCCTCCCTGAGTGTTAGGACCTAAACTTGAACTTTTGAAATAATTTTCTGCTTTCCCATTGAACTATTTTTATGACATGGAAATCGGTCTAATTGTTTATTATTATACAGAGCCGAGTCGCATATCGAATTAGTTGAAATATAATTCTCCCTCGTCTACTTTTTTATTTAGATTTATTATTTGTATATGTATTTTATTGTAACCGTGATATATTTTTGTTTTGTGTACCTGGCCACTGCGATGCATAATTAGTTTATTTATGTTCCACGTGGTTTCGTCTTTATGTTAAGCCTCTGTGTGAATACACAGTGAAAGAATTGAAATCTTTGTGAAAGAATTTAGATTGTGTCACACATGAGAATTGATACTTGACGGGATCAGCGTACTCGAAATAGATTAGAAA